GGAGCATAGTTTAAAGAACCCCTTCTAATAAATCTGCCAAATATTGTGTTTGTGGGATTTTGGTCTATTTGGTTTTTTTCGGAAATTATAGAAAATGTTACGTATTGTTAAGGCGTTGTAGGAGAGTGCTGAGTATCAGTGTTACTGTAAGTAAAAGTATCTAACCCTCTCCAGGGCGCATTTGGACCCCGGACTTGGACCCCCTCCCCCGCCATCCGAGAGCTCACGAGTTACGCAAATGGGTCCTGTTTATTTTATGATATGCCATAATTGGACTTTATGGGACAATACATGAAACACTACACCGTTTCTGATATATAAACTGCAATACATTATTCAGCATCGGAAGAGCATTCCAACGATACCAAACACGACTACTTTTGGGTGAGTTTATATACTTATTCTTATTTTATACACATTTTAAGTATATTTTGTGGATATCTTAAAACAAATAAACACCTATTTTTGAATTATGTTCCAATCTGGCATGAGTGACAGTAGTTTTTATAGGTCTGGTTTGTTGCATGTATAGAAATTATGATTTTAGACACCAACATCATATCTGTAGCTTATTTAGTTCCAATTATATGCACATTTTAGATAAATTTGGCGGCCATTTTGAAAAATGGCCGCCATTTGTATACCAGGTGAAAAATCAAGTGTCAACAGGGCTTAGGATGACCAGGGCGGATTAATTAGGATATCTGGCTATGTTGACTGCTTCTAACATTCCACTCCCCCTAACTTGATTTCTAGGCCTCTTTTTTGATTTTTTTCCCCTAGTCTATAACTAGCTGTAGATGCCCGGAAAACTCATTGAAAAATTGGAAGGTGGTGTGTGGCAGCAGTGGCGTAACGGTGAGTTTCTTTCTTTCTCTTTTTTTTTCTTTTCCAAAAAAAAAAGGGTGGGGGAGCGGGGCTGCCCATGAGTAGTAAAGGGCTAGGTAGTATAAAAGGGCCCCTTTTGAGTGGGGGTCCGGGGCTGCGCCCCCAGCTCACAGTTGTTTACTTATTTCCCAGGCGAGTCTTATGTAATCTGATCCTCCTGGGTATAGAGGCCAAGCAAAACGATGCTTTATAGGTCCTTCGAAAAAAGACTGAATATTTAATATTTAACATAGGGCGCAAATTTAAGCAGATGGTCAGCTAAACGTATTCAATTGCAGATTTAAATAAATTGAGCTAGAGTTAACGTCTTCGTTCGATAGAGAATTCCACAGCCGGATTGACCTAAATGAAAAAGCCTGACTTTTAATAAGTCCCACAGTGCTGATGTTTGATCTTAAAAGAGTTACCTCTAGTTCTAGCACCCTTATCAAACTCCAAAAATAAACTAGAGATAATATGTTCAATAGAACATGAACCCAGTCATTTTTTAAGAGATCCACTGTGACTTTTAACCTCAACCTGTGAACACCTCATGTTTGGTAGAAGTTTGTCTAATGCAATTGGTCCAATCGTTAGTCCATAGCAATATTTGATAATTTCACTATAGTGACCCTTGTGATTTTTGACCTATAGGTGAAGAGTAGTTTTTCATGTTTAGAAAGTCCTAAGGATCATTTCTGGTAAATTCGAGCTCAATTGGGCTATTTTGAAAATTTGACCCTGATGGCCCCTATGTAACCACTGATGCCAGACAGGGGTGTAGGAGGTGTCACTGGTTCTTAATGATCAAATTTGATTGAATTCGGTTCAATCGTTTGCCATTAGTAGCATTTTGAACCTTTGACCTATGAACTTTGACATATGGGGTGAAGAGTATTTTTTCATGTTTAGCAGGTCCTAAGGATCATTCCTGGTAAATTTGAGCTCAATTGGGCTATTTTGAAAATTTAACCCCGATGACCCCTGATCCCAGACTGTGGTGTAGGAGGTGTCGCCGGTTCTTAATGACGAAATTTGATTGAATTTGGTCCAATGGTTTGCCATTAGTAGCATTTTGAAATGTTACTAGAGAGAACAAAAGAATAACCCTTTAATGACCTTTGACCGTAAATCACTGAACAGCATAAGACCCTACATTATGCCAATACATATGTGCCCAGGACAAGACTGTGCTATGATATTTGTGACAGAAGAAGTCTTTTATTCATTTTTTTGAAAGTTGTTTACCCTAATGACCTCTATGTGACCTTTGACCCCAAGCAGTGAACACCCCATGTATGAAAGGTGTCACCGATTATACTGACCAGGTTTGGTTGAAATCGGCACAACCGTTTGGCACTAGTAGCGTTTTGAAATGTTTCCAGAAAAAAGATAAAAATTACCCCTTAATGACCTTTGACCCCTTATCCCTGAACACCCTATAGACCCTGCCTTATGCCAATGTATATGTGCAAAGGACAAGACTTTGCTACGTCATTTGTGAGACAAGTAGTCTTTTATAGAATTTTTGGTTTTTTTACCCTAATGCCACTTATGTGACCTTTGACCCCAAGTTGTGAACAACACATAAATGGGAGGTGGCACCGGTCCTACTGACCAAGTTTTAATAAAAATCGGTCCAGTAGTTTGCAACTAGTAGCCTTTTAAAATGTTGCCAGAAAGAAAGAAAGAAACTGCTAGGAAACAGAACCCAGTCAGCATGCTGCTGACTGGGTAAAGAAAGAAAGAAAGAAACTGCTAGGAAACAGAACCCAGTCAGCATGCTGCTGACTGGGTAAAGAAAGAAGAAACTGCTAGGAAACAGAAGCCAGTCAGCATGCCCAGTCAGCATGCTGATTTCTGGCGCCACCACTGCGTATAAGTGGACACCTGCTGTGTGTATATGTATGTTGTATGTATGTATGTATGTATGTATGTGCGTATGTATGTATGTATACATATTACGGTACATAGGCAACCAAGACAATCAACGACAAACAAATATGATGCTCAGCTCAACAATAACTCGGGAGTCGAAATTGAACCCAGGACCCTGGGATTCGATGGACGCACCTTAACCACCAAGTACAGCTACACCAAACCTGTTTGTCTATAAGCGAACAGAGATAAAGTGGGGCACGACCATGGATAGATTTTTGGGTGAGAAGAAGAATTTTAAAAATGATTCGCTTATCAACTGGAAGCCAGTGAAGAATGTTTAAAATTAGCGTGATGTGGGTGAACCTTTTAGACAATGTTACAACACGAGCAGCAGAGTTCTGAAGTTTCTGAAGGTGTCTAATGCTACTAGCAGGTAAACCATTGAGCAATGCATTGCAAAAGTCAAGTTTGGATGAAATAAAAGCATGAACAAGAGAAGCAGCAGCAGAAGATGAAATGTAAGGTCTAATGGAACGGATACGGCGAAGATGAAAGTAACCCGATCGGCATATAGATGATATATGGTTGCTGAAGTCAAGATGTTTGTCAAATATGACCCCTAATTTCCGGACCGAAGTAGAAGGAAATATGTTAATACATTACAGTTTATGTTAATTTCAGGAACAGTGCGAGTACGAGTATAGAGTAAATGCCTCTATAAACTGCAATTTGATTTGTGAAAATTGACCAAGAAAATATAAAGTTATAGCAATAAAATTACATGTTCTTATGTAACATGTTCATAGGCAAACATTTGTCAACCGTTTCGCTAGGAACTGAGGTTGGTGTGAAAAAAATGTATTAAAAGTAGCACAGGCAAGGTCAGAAGTTGTTTTAAAAGGGATGTCACGCTTTGCAACACAAATCGTGTTGTGTAAACAGCGTAACCACTGTCAACATATGGCCTGTGTCAGAAAGAAATGCTAGCCTGAGAGAAAAATTTCTCGTGATTGTATAAAGGCCAACTCAGACAGCGTCGGCCGACGAAGCCCGACACGATTTATCGTCGGGGACAGTCTTAAGCCGTCGTGAGAAATATTAAACATGTTTAAAGCCCCATTCCCGGCAAAATTTCAGTTTTTAAGAAAAATCTAATTTTTGTATAATGTTATAAATATTTATAAATATAATACAGAATTGCTAGTTTAACTGAATTTAGACATTCCTAAGAATGAAAAAAATGTAAAATAAGACTGAAATTTGATTTTTTTTTGTGTTCCACACAAAAAATAAATGCGGATGAATTTTTCATTTTGATTTTGCGATAGGTTGTGAGAAGAAATATCGTAGGCGCCGAAAACATTAGCCTATCCAACGCTGCGTTTGTTAGGGGGTGAGTTTGTAAGGGGCGAGTTTGTAAGGGGCGAGATTGCAAGGGGCGTGTTTAATAGGGGGCGAGTTTGTAATTGGCGAGTTTGTAAGGGGCGAGTTTGATAAGGGGGGGGGGCGAGTTTGATAGGGGGCGAGTTGACTGGTTCCCCCGAGATGTACGTCCTTCTGTTGAATTGCCTTGATGTGTCCTATAATAACACACAGTACACACTAAACAGCACAATGGACGTGTAGACAGAATAAAGTGCGCATGGCAACTGATGAGGCATAAATTGACCAAAAAAAATGGTTTTGAATGAGTTCTACAATATATGGTGTACTCTGTTCGAAATACAGCCACACCGGTGTGCGGCTGACAGACGATTGTCTGGAAAAATACGTCTAGTGATAATTTTATAATCGGGTGAGCAAATTCAGCCGATTAAAGCTGCAAGTTTCAGGTTATTCTTTACCTTAATTAATATTCCTTTATTTTACATGGAAGCTGGCTTGTTGATACCGGTACTGTAGGTAGGCAACCTAATCCAAGTACTGTGCAGTTTAAAATCATTTGAATCATTATAGGGAGTTGGATGGCCGAGCGGTTTAAAGCAGTGGCCGGGGCGCTGCAACCAACGGCCAAATCGGCGCTGGTTCGAACGGCACGCTCGCCTATGTTTTTCGGGTGGTGGGACACGTTTTCTCTCATGGTTTTTTTTTTTTTTTTTTTTTTTCTTTTTTGGCTCGTGTGCACTTAAAAGAACCCAGTACATCATTCGTGACGGGTAGGGGAGTTACCCTGTGTACTGGTCCACACATCCCCTGTTGTGGACAGACAAGAATAGCCGGTACCGGTTTACCGGGTAGCTCAGACATGAAGAGACCCTTAAGGGAGAAGCAAATTACTGTACGGGCTAGTCCACTCCACACCTCGAGGGCTTTGAGACTATAAATCGAACTACATTACATTACATTGCATGTTTATTTAATTAATGTAATTATTTAAGATTGATCCAACAAATAGAAACCTTCAAAGTGTCAGGCAGGCTGAATGGGTTCTAATATAATGGTCTTATTTCCAAGTTCCTAATCTACTATAACGAGTCTTTACTTCATCAAGACAAACGTATTTTCATCAACAGCTTTTGAAGCAGTGACATTCTAAAAATTAATGCAAGTAAACTGGCTATGTCGATAATATAATTTTTTTTAAATAAACTATATACAAAATGATGAATGATGATAGAGATAAACTTACTTGTAACTGAGACGAAATAATATGTGTGTACGTATACACTATTCTTCCCTTGTAATGTGTGTGAAGTACCGGAACTGTTTCACCATTTCCTTCTTCATATATTTACATTATAACAGTTCCCTCCGCTTGTAAAATTACTTTGACGAAAGCAACACGTGGTACACTTCGGACTTCCTTACAGTAGCAGGTGCGGCGCTAGCGATTCGCTTCTTCAACATGAGGTCTGAACTCTCACAGGCGCGAGCTGGCCCCAGCCCCCACCCCACTTTTGGAAAGTAAAAAAAAAGGAGGAAGGAAAAAGAAATAATTGATCGCCCAAAACGCCTCAGAGGTTATTTTCGGGCGTCTAGAAAACAACAATTTCGAGGGGGAAAGCCCCGGACCCTACAGTATTGTTGTCTCGATCGGCACTCCTTTCGGACATCTCTGGATTCGCCCTTGTCTGACGTCCCGCAATAGGGCGTCAGCGCAATTTGAAGAATTATATGCACTTCAAATGTTCGGAAATGGCACCCACAGTGTGTTTTCAAGGGGAGGTTTTCTGTTCCCTTACCTTGACCATTGGCCGCTTGTAGTGCGCCGCCGCTTTTAATTGTGCATTTATATTTTTATTCAGACACTACACTTTCGTACCAGTGGCACATTCTTGAAGGACGGAGCATCCAAGATAATAATATAATTACTTAACATACTATGACATGGATATAAACATCAATTCGAAAAAACAATACAGTAAACTAATTAAACAGTGATATAGATATTTGATAAGAGTACGTAAAACTGGAAGAAGTGTGACCATTAAATTACAAAACAAAGAACATTTCTTAACTAACTTTCTCTTCCTAACTATTGCAAAACGTAAATCAGCCATCCTATCCTGACCCAAAACAAACTCAGAAAAAAAAAACATATTTTGAAGTCAGCTATAGAAATTAACAATGGAAAAGCACGACTTTACAAACGAAAGGGAAAATAATATAATAATAGAATAATAACTCGTGTGTTTGTGTGGAAAACGTGTTTGTAAACATCACGTATATGCCTTGTTCTGATTGGTTACTTGAAAGTTTGATTGACAGTCCGGAAAGGTCTATTGCCTTGATACCATAGAGATATAATAAGAATACTAGAGCGCTA